AAAGTATATTAACATGTCGAGGTCACATTGGCTGTATAATATGACCACTGTTGAAGAGCAAATAGAGCTAAGTTGACCATTCTAATAATGTAAATCCCCCTATATATAATTATAATTCCCGAATGCGTTGAGCTTACGTGGCTGCTTCTGATGCTTCGGAATCTTACTTGACGAAGAATTATGCTTCGTAATTAGGTTTGGACAAATAATATTAATATATTAATAATTAATAATCTAAGTTCGGACATTCCCTAAATACTAATTAGCTAACTTAGATATTTTAATTACTAATATAACCCTTTAATTATTTGTAATTTTACATAATGAGACACTAAGTGACTAATATATCCCTGACTTTTGATTTGTTTCCTTTAATTAGCTATTGAATTATAAATGTATTTTAAAAGTTGATAACTTTTGTATTTCTTATCTGTTTTACATATATAATATATCAAATTAATAATCTTTTAATGATTTTCGATTTGACATCAATATTGTACATATAAAATAAATAGATTATATTTATCTTTATAATAATAAAAAAATAATAATATTTATTAAAATTTATTAGAAAAATAAAGTATTTCTCAGTTCATATATTTATGTTTAATGTAGTTATATGTTGTAAATTTAAAAAATTATTATAATATAACACAAGTAAGTCACACAAATAAACAATGCCATACTAAATATATAATAATATATATATTTTAATAAAAGGTATTTAAATTTTTAACTACTTTTTCTCATTAATTTTAGATTTTAAAGAAAAAATTAGCGTGTAATACACGGGCGTTGTACTAGTTTAATTAGGGATAACAAATCATATTGTATGCCATGTTTGTATTTTATTGTTTTGATGTAATTTTTTTTATCTTATCATAAATATAATGATAAGTAAAAATGTAATTAAAAAAATTATTTTGTTACACTAGTTTTGTGTTTGAGGTCGTACTATGTTAATATTCGAGGGAAAAGGAAACATATATTCTAAGGATAACTACTTAAAATCATAATCATAATCAATAGGGCAATGATTGTAATCAAAGTTTAGCGTTAGTAATCGCGAGCCTTAGAGCATGTTGGGATATAAATAATTTAATTTTGGCGTTGTTCGATTTTTTTGGTTTGGTTTGGCTAATTTTGAAAAATGTGTAATGGTAGTTGTTTGTGTGTATATTAAAATAATATTTAAAATAAATAATCAAAATTGAGTTGATATAAATGTGTGAGAGAGATGATTTGAAGTTATTTGAAGCGATAATTAGTTAAAAAAAAAAAAAGAAATGTTCGATCGAGATGTGGATCGAACAATCAAAAGATGAACAAGGCAGCAGAATATCAAAGGAATTGATGAAATCTGGAAACTGATACCATAATAAAGCTAAAAACTATACATGATTTTCATTAATGGAGAAAGATTTTTACAAAGATGAAGAAGAAGAAGAAAGATTCTTCTGTCTTTGATTACATCTATAACCCTAATCACCCTATTTATATGATGTCCAATACATAAAACTAATAACTCTAAGGGCCTGAGTGCAAATAAACGAAAATATGTAAAATACAGTGAATTAAAGTTGATGTGGTGTATATGAATTATTTATTGATATTATTTAATTATATTAATAATATGGATAATAGTGAGGTTGAGTTAAATTTGAGTTAAAAAAGTGGTTGAGTTAAAATGTTGGAATTTTTTTAAAAAAATTTTTGTATGCAATCATACCCTTAATTCTTCAATTTTCCAAGCATAATGGATAAATCTTGACAATTTTTTAAAAAAATAATTATGATAATGGTAAAATAATTAATAATCATGACAATAATAAAGTAATCACTATTGTAAACATTTCTAAGCACTAGTTTATATA